TGAGAAATTTCAAGATGCCACTGTTGGTTGTTTTGATGTAACTTAGGACTTAATTTTTGGCCTATTTCCTTTTTTGTCTGCCTGTCCCACTCCACAATCCCTGTTCAGGCCTTTTTTTTCTGGTTATAAACAGTTCAGGGCCAGCTGTGGCTGTTTGGTTTTAAGTGGAAACTGTCTCTTTAAATTTCGAGAACATCCATGCACATGCGTAGTAGAACCCTCCGAGGGTGGGGCTGGGGTGTCCACTAGCTCAGGCACCCCTATAGTCACCTGAATGGAGGTGTGTAGGCAGCAAGGGACCAATGAACAGATTGGAATGTTCAAAAGAAAAGAAAAGAATGTCCACACCTTTATCTTCACGATTCTGTCAGGCATCCGTAGCTGTTCTGATCCTTCCCCCGCTTGGTCTCACCCAAGATGGTGGCTCCTGGAGCAACTGAGCACCTTGAACTAGAAAGCAATGGATTTCTTGCTTCCACTACAAATTCCCCTAGCTGTAAGCCTTCCAACCTTCTAAATATTCCTTCATATGTGGTTCAGAGTTCAGGGACCATCCCCTGAGCCTGCTTGGTCTGGTATTCTGTGTTGTTGCTGGCGGAGCTCCTTACTGCACTTCCACCCGATCCGCCATCTTGTTTCCCCTGCTCTTCCTAAATTTAAAACATTCACTGTTCCTCTATTCTCTTTGAAAAACTGCTTCATGATCTTTGTACGGGTTCTCATGAGCAAAATTAAGTGTTCCAGAACACTCATTCTCCACAATGTTGTCCATAGCATGTCATGATCCATGTAATCAATAGTCTTCGAGTAGTCAATAATGTACAGGGAAACATGTTGCTTCTATTTTCTGATCTCAGCCAAGATCCATCTGATGTCAACAGTGATATCCCTCATTCCATGTCCTCATTTGAATTCTGCATGAACCTCTGGCATTTCCATGTTAATGTATTGTTGCAAATATTTTTGAAGTATCTTTACCAAAATTTTACTTTCAGGTGATATTGATGATCTTATCCAAAGATTTATGCATTCCGTTGGGTCATCTGTCATTGAAATGGACACAAATAGGATGTCTATCAATCAGTTGACGGGGAACTGTCTTTCAAATTTATTGGCATAAATGGTTGAGTGCCTCTAGTACTACCTCTCTTTGCTGAAACATTTCAATATTTATTACATCAATTTCCAAAGTCTTGTTGTTTGCCAATGTCTTCAATGTAATTTGGATTTCTTCCTTCAGTTTCATTGAATCTATTCATTTTATTTTAAATATAGATTTTCTAAGTACTACTCCAAACACTGTGATTGTGACGATGATACATTTTTGGAAAATTGTTATCGTTGTTGCTGTTGTTGTTGCAAGGTGCCATTGAGTCAGTACCCTATGCACAAAAGAACAAAACACTCCCTGGTCCTGGGCCAACCTCACAATCATTGCTACACTTGAGCCCATCGCTGCCATCACTATGCCAATCCATCTCATTGGAGGTCTTTCTCTTTTTCTCCAACTCTCCACTTTACCTAACATGATATTCTTCTTCAGTGACTGGTCTCTCCTGATAATATGCCCAAAGTATGAGAGACGAAGTTTGGCCATCCTGCTTTCCAAGGAGTGCTCTGGCTGTACTTCTTCCAATACAGATCTGTTGATTCTTTTGGCAGCCCATGGTACTTTTAATATTCTTCTCCAACCCATAATTCAAATGCAACAATTCTTCTATGGTGTTCCTTATTCACTGTTCAACTTTCACATACATATGAGGTTATTGAAAATACCGTGGTGCACCTTAGTCCTCAAACTGACATCTTTGCTCTTCAACACTTTAAAGAAGTCTTGTGCAGCAGATTTGTCTAATGCAATACGTTGTTTGATTTCTTGACTGCTGCTTCCATGAGTGTTTATGGTTGATTCAAGTAAAATGAAGTCTTTGACAACTTCAATCTTCTCCATTGATAAGAATGTTGTTTATTGGTCCAGTGGTGAGGATTTTTGTTTTTACATTGAGATGCAATCCATATAGAAGGCTGTGGTCTTTCATCTTCATTATCAGTAAGTATTTTAAGTCCTCTTCACTTTCAGCAAGCAAAGTTGTATTATCTGCATATCGCAAGTTGATAATGAGTCTTCCTCCAATTCTGATAACATGTTTTTCTTCATATAACTCAGCTTCTTGGATTCTTTGCTCAGCATACAGATTGAATAAGTATAATGACAATGAGACGATATATGATAGATATACGATAGTATGAATGTAAAACTAATGTTCTCCCATGTAAACTATCACATAATTCACAATAAAACACTTAAAAAAAAATGATTTCAGGAGATATTTTTGCTTTAAGGTTTAAAGATTATCTCTGAGCAATTGAAAATGTACATTTTGAATGTATATTTTTAAGCAAAACAAAAAGGAGCTCTGGTAGCACAGTGGTTACGAGTCAGGCTGCTAACCTCATGGTCAACAGTTCGAAATTACCAGCGGTTCCTCTGGGGAAAGATGAGGCTTTCTGCTCCTGTAAAGATTTACAGACTCAGAAATCCTGTACAGGGTTGCTATTAGTTGGAACCGACTCCACAGCACATAACAACAACAAACCAGCCCTGAGGAGTACTGGTGTGGTGTTGTGGACTAATGCGTCAGACTACAAAGTCATTTAAACTGCAAGGTTAATGGTTCAAGCTCACCAGCTGCTCTTCTGGAATCCTATACAGGGTTGCTAAGGGTCAGAATTGACTCAATAGCACTTCACTACAACAACCAGCCCTGAATGTAGCCGGGCATTTCTTCTCTCAGACTCAGAATAGAGATCTGGAGGTGTTGGCCAAGGGAGTAGCTTCACCTTCCCCTGTAAGTCTCCTTCAGAGGCCTTGGTAACCTTAGTTAGCATTTCTCCTACAGTACTCTCTCTCCCTGCCTCTCCCTACTATCTTGCTTGCACATATTCAGTTTCACACTTTTAAAAATAGCTATGAGCAGTATGGAGCTGTCTGTGAGCCTGGCTTCCAGTCCTGAAACTCAGGCCTCCCTTACCAAGAGCTGCCCTGTTTGAGTGTAATTCTAGCCCTTACCCTGTTTTACCTTTCACACAGTACAAGAACTGTCGGTCCAAAGTAGTCCCAGGTTGTCTGAAATATTCACAGAGATATGGAACTCCTTCTTTAGTTACGTCCTGACTTTGTTTACCTCCTTAATAATTATCTTCAAGAGGAATCTGATGACGTTGCTTTCTTGCAAAACTCCCTTGAAACTCCCCGAGGATGCCTGGATGCCTCATTGTTGAGGACCAACCCAGCTCTCCACATTTTGTCTTGAACTCCAGAGAAATGGACATGATTGAAATGAGTTTCCAGGATTCCACAGACTGTTCTGGCTCTTTCAAACAAAGCCTGCAAGGGGACGAAGACAACAGATCAGAAAGAAAAGTTAATGCGCATGAGGATTCACAGGACCTGGAAACTGCCTACCTTCCATCTGTGCTTCCCATGGCCCCTTGGGGCTCTCAGGTATGTCTGCATTCCTGGGCAGAGGGCTTCTGCTCCTTTCTGACTGAAGCAGATCACGTGTGCTGAGGCAGAGTTAAAAGGTTGTGTTTTTGTTCATTCTTTTCTTTCCCTGAAGACCTCTCTCACCCTCATGCCTGCCTATCGTTACCTCAAAAGAAAGAGCCCTGTAGCATAGTGGGGTAAGCATTGGGCTGCTAACCGCAAAGTGGGAGGTTCAAATCCACCAGCCACTCCAAGGGAGAAAGACAAGGCTATCTGCTCCTATAAAGATTGAGTCTTTAGGAGTGGTTCTACTCTGTCCTATAGGGTTGTTACGGGTTAGAATCAACTCAAAGGCAGTGTGTTGTTGTTGTTGTGCTCAAAAGAGCTGTTAATATCACCAGTGGTGAGCTTTTATTGAATATACTCTAGGTGTCATACACTACCAGAAAGGAATTAGTATCTCAATTTGATGAAGAAATTGAGGCTCAGAGAGATTAAGGACATTTCCCAAGGTCACATGACTAGTCAATAGGTAATCTGAGATAAAAGATCTTTCTTTTAGTGAGATGTTGAGAAGAAAGAATGAGCCCACAGATGTAAAGAGCCAGCAGAATGCTTGGCACGTAGTGCAGTCCCGCATAATTGTATTGTCATACGCACAAACACCAGCAACTCAGCTGTATGGAGGGAGTGTATGGCTTGAATCTTTCTTGTGAACCTTACCGAGTGGAAAGACAACCTTTAATAAGTATGTCTCTTCTAGTAATTTCATTTATTTATTACATTGCCTCCCCCGTCACCCAAGCTAACAGTCTTGATGTGGTGCTGTAGGATGAACACTGGACTGCTAACCATAAGGTCAGTGGTTCAAACTCAACAGCTGCTTCTTGGCAACTCTACACAGGGTTGCTATGAGTTGGAACCAACTTGATGGCACTTAACAACCACCACCCTCTTTAGTGAGCTGTAAAAATAAGCAGCGTTTCTTAATTTACTGATCAGTTAGCTGGTCCAGGTTCTGCCTCCCAGGCTTCCTGTAGCTTCCCTGCAGTGTCCATGTGGTAGTCAGCCATGATGCAGACTGAGTATTGACCACGCTCCCTTTGCCTCCAGGACTCCACAGCTCTGCAGACTCCTTTGTGGGTCCACTCTGAGCCCCAGTGGGTCCCATTTCATACCTGCACTTCTCAGCCCAGTGTCTACTGATGCAAGAAAACTGAGGGCCACTCAGGAACCAACTCAGTCCTCCTTAGGACATTTTGCTATTGCTGGCTGCCTGCACAGAGGTGTAACTTGTCAGCAGAGCATTCTCCTCTCAGAGTCACAAAGGAATCCCATCCCCAAGGTTTCCCTCAACTCTGCCCCTTCTGGGCCCCATATTAGCAAACCCTTCCCAAAGAGAGGGCATCTGGGCTCAGGTTCTTCTGCACTCCCTCTGCCTCTCCATCTCTCTTCTTCTTCCTGATTCTACCTCCTTTGCAGACATCTTCTCTGTAGTCTAGAGGGTCAGACCTGTTCTTTATTTTTTCAGTTGTTGTAAAAAAATATATATATATAACCCAACATTTGGCAATTCAATGCTTTTTACATGTACAGTTCAGCAACCCCAGTTTCTAATTTTTCCATCACCATTAACAGATTTTGGAGCCCTAGTGTGGTGCTGTAGGATGAGCACTTGACCTCAAGTTTGGTTTGAACTATAAGGTCTGTGGTTCAAACTCATCAGCTACCCCTTGGAAACCCTATACCGGGTGGCTATGAGTCAGCACTGACTTGACTGCACTTAACAACAACAACAATTAACATATTTTCACTGCTTCTTAAACAATGATTTCCCCTTTCCCTCACTCTCTCCCACCCCTGAGAGCCACTAATAAACACTAGTCTCTAAGCATTTGCTTACTTTTGCATTCCATATAAGTAAGATGATATAGTATTTATTGTTTTGTGGCTCACTGACTTCACTCAACAGGTTTTCAAAGTTCATCCATGTTGTGGCATATAGCAGGATTTCACTTCTCTTTATGAAATGCATAAATGTACCACAATTGTTTATCCTTTTGTCTGTTGATGGACATATAGGTTGCTTCAATCTATATATGCTGGAGGGGGAGATGGGAATGGAAATAACCCGTGCTCTCTGTACCTGATTTCCTGCCTGCTGCCTTGTTAAAGAGGTCAAGGGCCTGCCCATGCCTGCTCCATATCATAAACCTCCTGACTCACACTTAGAATAAGTTGGCTAGCTGAAAGGTTATGGGAGTAATTAAAGCACAATAGTTAAATAATTTGTAAAAGTGTCATCCTCATTAGAGTGGTAAAGAGCATGGGCTTTGGAATCAGACCTGGGGCTGATACCTTGCTAGCCATGTAACACATCAAGCTTCAGTTATTTCATCTGTGGAAAAAAAATTATGTGAGGGTAAAGTAGCCCACTTCCATCCTTACTCAGTTCCACAATGCCTGGAACATATGAACTTGGAGAAATATCAGTTGTTGCTGATGTTATTTTGACTTTATAACCATTCCCTCCTTCTGACCTCTTGTCTTTAAGACTGTTGAGGGGCAGGAATTAGGCTGTGTCCACAGCTCCTTGTCTTTCTCCATCTGCTTGAGGGGACAGAAAAAGCATCACATGGCTAAGGGCACAGACAACCACAAAAAGACACTGTATTTAATTTAAGAAAAATGTATTGTGCTAAAATATAAACAAAAACCTACAATTTTAAGTGTACATTTGTTGTTGTTGATGTTAGGTGCCATTGGGTCAGTTTTGACTCATAGCAATCCTGTATAGGGTTTCTGAGGCTGTAAATTTTTATGGGAGAAGAAAGCCTGCATTTTCTCCCACGGAACAGATGGTGGGCTTGAATGGCTAGCTTTGTGCTTAGCAGTCCAGAGCTTATTGTACAGCATCAGCAGCACTTCCAGATATGTAAATAAGTGGCACTAATGACACTCTTCTTACTGTGCAGACATCATCACTGTCCATCTTCACATAGTTTTCATCACCCCGGACAGAAACTCAGAACTCCTGAAGCAATAGCTGCTCAACATGGGAGTCAGCTTTAGGATTTTCACTTTTGAGATATAAAAATAATTTCTAAAATTGTTTAAAAAAACCAAAAAGTCCACCATAATCCCATTAGCCTAATACAATAACTATGTGTTCCTCTTCAGTCTTTTTCCCCTTAATGTTTGTTTATATAGGTGTGCTGATAATACTGAACTTGCATCTAAGACCTAAAATTGTAGTTGTGAATGTTTTCCAGGTTGCTATCTAAATTTCCTAATTGTCACTTCAATAGCTGAACAATAGAACATCTTGTGTATGTGCCATAATTTATTAAGGTTGCTGATAAAATTTAGAGTTTTTATAGAGGCTTTATTTTTTTTCAAATTTCCTCAGAATTTCTCAGAAACTGGTCCATTGGTTATTTCCTAAGACCTTTGTGAAATATCTGAACAAGATTTAAAAAAAAATCATAGTCAGTTGTTCAAAAGAGTTGTGAAGTTGTGGAGTTTGTGTATGTAGGGAGTTGTACATGATTAAGAGGATTTGTGATATCAGAGCCTTCAGTTACTTACGTGGAAAAGGCTGAGCAAACCATCATGACCCGTCCATTTTCAAATAGCTCTCATTAACCAACAATTTTGCAGAAGAAAGATGAGACTTCCTGTTGCCATTACGATTTAAAGCCTTGGAAACCCTATGCAGGGTTGCTATGAATCAGAGCAGACTCAATGGCACAAAACCACCACCATGACCACCACCCACCATTTTGATCCTTTATAGATGCTCCTCCAAGACCACCTGTCTTGACCATATTTTTGTCTTTCTAGAGCCTAGTCAAAAACTCCCATTGCCAGGTTACATACTATCTTCCATTCATCTTTATGCAAATATCAGCTCTTCCGGTCTGCAATGAATCACCTCTTAAAGATACTACTTGCTCACTGTATTCTTATGTAACTCTTCCTGTGGCTGTCATGTTCCCCAAAGAAGACAGGAACACATCTGAAGCATGTAGTCACTCATTGCACAAACATTTCTCGAGCTCCCACCATGTTCTAGGTATTGTTCTTAGAGTGGGAGATGGAGCAGTGAGCAGGACAGACAAGATCCAGCTCTCTCAAAATTCACATCCCAATGGAGTAACAGAATAAATAAATAAATATGTATACATACATACATAAATATGACTAAAATGAGTAATGGAGTCCTGGTGTGATGCTGTAGGATAAGCACTGAACAGCAAGATCGGTTTGAACCACAAGGTCGGTGGTTCAAATCCACCAGCCACTCCTCAGAAGCCCTATACAGGGCCACTGTGAGTTGGAACCGACTCGATAGCACTTAACAACAACAACAAAATGAGTAATAGATGAAAATGTTTAAGTAAGTAGAATAAAATAAATAAATACAAGAGCAAATCAGAAAAGTATTATTACTAGATTTCCAGTTCATATATGTAAAGGTTTATTTCAAACAAACTATGATTGTTGAAGACAAGTTCTCTCAGTACTAGGAATCTCCTTAGGGTGCCTTCCCCCACCCCCCCAAAAAATGTCCAATAAAATCAGTGGCTCCCAAGGAGTTCTGACACACGTTGGTCATCGAACTGCTCTCTTTTCTCTTTAGCACATTAGAGGTATTTTACAGCAGATTTGCCTAATGCAGTATGTTTGATTTCTTGATTGCTTCTTCCAAGAATGTTGATTGTGAATCCAAGCAAAATTACCAGTCAATTTGGCTGAAAATGGAGCCATGTGGTTGAGTTCATTTCTAGACCTGAAGGGTGACTATGGGCCATAGTCTTGGGGATTCCACCTGTATTTATATGACTAATAAGCCCAGTCTTTTTTTGTTTTTTTGTTTTGTTACACATTTTTCTTCCACTCTATCCAGTACCTTCTAATGTGATCCTTTTTAGAGCTGTTGTTAGTGGTAGCCAGGCGTCATCTAGTTCTTCTGTTCTCAGGATCATGGAGGCTGATATTCTCGCGGTCTATTAATC